GTGGTGAGGCCTCCGCAAGTTGCTGGAGCCTGAACGGGAAGGAAGGATCGAAAATCGATATTTAGCTAATTACCAGGGGGTTGTTCTAAACCTTTTGCATAACAGCAGCCTATGAAAAGGACATGCAAGAAAGATTTAAACATATGTTTCGTGCTTTTAGCCCGAGCCGCAGCACAAAAAAGGCGCAAGGGCGAGTCCGTGTCCAGCTATAGATTGCTGCCAGCCCGCTGCTATTTACGGTACATTCGTGCAGATCTTCGAAGTGCGACTCCGCTAGTGTGGAGCGGGTGCTTTCCTCAACAGCGCTCTCGTTGTGACATCGTGCACACCTTCAGACTTGCCGGACACAGATCGGAACAGTTCTACCTTGATGCGCAGATTTTGTGGCGGGCGCAGCGCTTTGTGAACCTTGAAGTGCAGATTTCATGGCTGGTGTAACTTCGATGTGCAAGTTTCATGGCAACGGCCGCGCTATGCGAACCTTGAAGTCAACATTTTGTGGCAGAGGCGCGACTTAGCGAACCCACTGCAACCACTATTGCCACGACGACGACGACGACTACTACTACTACTCCTACTGTTATTACTTCTTGCTTTCACCTTAGCTTCTTTTTTTGCCCCCGTGTTGATAGGCTTCCCTCGTTTACCTTTACCTTGGACTTTGGTTAAAAGCGGTGGCTTGCCTGAGGCTATTGGCTTGTTTTTTTTGTTTGGCCCTGCTTTCAGGCTTAAGTTTGGCATCCTTATATGAAACCTAGTCGAAAGGGCGTTTTTTAGAATGCTCATGCATTCTGAGAAAATTTTATCAGGGGGTCCGGTGAATTTGCCCAGGAACTGGCCCGAACGATGTTTTTTGCATAAAGCCTCCAAGAAAGGCTCAACGAGTTTCCGCAAAGGTTTGAGCAACGAGACGTCCATTTTGGACAGGAGTTAACTGCAGGCTAGCTGCTTCTGTTGGTCGAATGAGTAGGTGTTTGCCCTTCCTTCTGTTTAGAAAATACTGCATTTGGATTATTTCTTCCTTTGACACGTGGAGAAGTTCAGTGAAGAAGAGGCCCAAAAGGGCGAGGCCGTGAATTTGGCCAAACAGTGTCCCATATGAAGGTTCTTACACTAGGAGTCAAAAAAAACCGTGAGCTTCCAAAAATCAGATTTAAGCTATTAAGATATTTTTATTGTTTAAAAAATGATTGGTGTTGAGTGCCAGCTCGGTTTTTCTCTGGAGCGCGCAGTTGCCTAGAAAGCTATCCTAAGGTTTTGCCTCTTGGCCCAACCCCTCCCCGTTGCCTTTTTTCGGCCGCTGAAAAAAGGCGAGTGGTGTAGTTTTGGGCTCAATTGTTCGCTGTCACATTGGGATTGGCGTGTGAGCGGGTGTTGTTTGGAATCGCGAAACTGCTTGGCAGGGCTGCGTGATGTGTGTGTGCTCTGGTACACAGTTGCCTGGAAAGCTGTCATGCTGAATCTTCTGTTTCTTGGCCCCCCACTCTCCCCTTCCCCAACATCACCACCCTTGTAATTCTGTGGAACTGTGGGCGGTTTCAATTTCACAGGCCAGGACGTGTCACGAGTGCCTATAGAAAGGTTATGAAGCAAGGGGGTCTGAAAACAAGCGTCGACATTGATCGTGGGGTCAGGGGGGGGTTGAACCACGACAAGTCGTCTTCGTTATTCTGCACATGCTCTACAGTAACCATGCCCTACCCACGGCCGTGGAACATAGGCTTTCACTTCCGGCATTGTAGTCTCAATTGGTAGTCTCATTGCTTGTAAGAGTACCTTCAATTTGACTCATGAGATCGGTCAAGTTTATTTTTCCTAGAACATGCGTGCATGACACATGTTGACATGCGTGTGGAACAGAAGGAAATAAATAAACAAAGGTGAACCAAAAGCCCACAGGACTGCGGAAATGCCCCCACCTCCAAGCCGGTGCTGTTGCATTGTCCGGCGCTGTCAAGTCATCCCAGCACTTGGAATGCAGCTTCAACTTTAAGGATATTTTGGCTCGCTCGCATGGCCGAAACCCTCCAATACACCAAATTTCACCTCCGGTTGCGACAATGTAGTGTCCAAAAACCTGCACCTTCTCATCCCTCCCTTTTTCAAACTCCAACTCGTACATCTTCCATCGTGGCTGTCGGAAGGACTGGGAGATGTTTGCCCAGGCGTCAAACCGAGATGGCCCATCCTGCTCTTTCGGCTTGACGCGTCCCATGAAGGATCCAAATTGCTCATGGCTCGCATGGCTTCCGGATGTAATTTCTGTAATTCGTGTCTGCCTACATGCACAGTAGCCTGCTCATGTGGCAAACCATGCGCTGCAAGGTTACAAAATGTCACGCAAACCGCAAACCCACAGTGTAAAGAACTACGGTAAGCGGCAAAAGCAGCAACGCACAGTGGTCAAGTGTCGCTGTCTGCCTACTGTCACATGATGAGACATGACAAACAACTGACGTCCTCAAGGCTCAAAAAAAGGATAGACAAAAGATTGATGTTTGCATGGATAAGGTCGTGCTTGTATTCGGCAACATTTCCTTGCCCTGAAAGCGAAGCCACAAACTTGACTCCTTTCGAACACTCACTCACAAGAGACACTCACGGAACCTGTCCTCGTTTCAGCCTTTTTTAAGCAGATTGTTTTGAATGCGTTGGTAGGCCCAGAGAAAGAAGAACAAACCTAGGAATGCAAAATGGGGCACAGTAATGAAGGCAGGTAGCTGTGGAAGTACACATCCAAGAAGGACATTACCAGCTGTAGTCCTCATATTTCATCATATCTCCCCACTTCTCACAAGACCGGACAGCTCCAGCACTCCCAAAACGGAAACCCAAGCAATCAAAAGTCCCAAGAAGGACCTTACCATGGGAAAATTGTAGTTTGAGAACGTGTGGTAGACCTCTTTCAGGCCCTCCTGCCAAAAGCTCTTTTTTCTTAGATGTGTGTTTGTTTCCTGTTCCATTTCCTTTTTCCCCTGCATTTGTGCTATGTGTTTTCTTGGCGAGTTGCCTTTTCCTGTCCTTTTCGTTTCCCCTTCCTTTGCCTTCCTCTCTTCGCTGCTTCTTTTCTTCGTCCATGTTCTTCTCTGTTTCATGTGTTTTTTAATTCTTTGACCTTTTGGCTCCTAATTCTCTCTTTTCCGGTTCAAGCGTGCCACCTTTTTGTGCCACTATTACGAACAAGCAAGACTTGAAACATATGCCACGGCATGCCATTGGCGCAAGAAGGCAAGGGCGAGCGCAAGAGCCTTTCAACATATCACACCTTGCAACCAAGCTTCTAGAGATATAGAACAACCTCCACCATTAAAATAGCATTCCAGCAAGGGGGCTGTCTCTGTGTAAAAAGGAGACATGTCGTCACGACTTAACTGCACAACTGTCTTCAGGTCTCTTCGGTGTCAGTGGCTCCGCTTCAGATAGCGTCGCCGAGAACCTTCGCCCCGGTCACGCCGAGCCAAGCAATGCCAGCCCGGCAAGGGCACGCCTTGTCACCAATACCTCCAGCTGATAGCGCGAGAGCCTCAACGGTGATGCAATTCTGCATGTCAAAATAGATCTATTAGACAAAGTCAAAGGAAACGGGCAAGGGCTGAAAGAGGTGGTAGATTCTTGGTAGATTGTGCAGATGCTGGTTGATTCTTTAAATTCTTTTCACAACGCTGCTTGATTGCAGTGCATGCACTGAAACCAGTCAAGCCCCACAGCACGTCATTGTCCGCAAGGCAGCCCCCGTGCACGAGGAGTCCTCTCAAGCATTGAAGCTCCGCCCCAAGTGTCGAGTGCCTTTTGCCAGACTGATTCTTTGGGTCTTCACATGCTCCGCATGTGTGATGATCGGCTGGCAGGCCGTTCCAGTCGAGCATATCGATAGGCCAGCCATGTCAAGACAAGGGGCCAAAGAGATTGATTTCAAATGAATTCTGGCTGCGGAGCATTCTGACACAGCGATGGACTCTTTCCCACACAGAATTTGATGACTGGTTTGCACCTCAAGGCGTGCAGACGACTGTTGAGTCGCAGGACCATAATTATCGAAGAATTCATTGGGGGTTAAGATGTGCAAGGGTAGCGAAGACCTTTTTGTCCATTGAAGATCTTAAAAGGAGCTAGAAGTCGTCCTGCAGAAGCTCGCACTGGTTTGGGAGCTCAGTGGTGGGTTTGAGAAAGAGCGGCAAGCTTGTGGACTGAGGCCGTGGAGGATACCAGCGCTATCAACCAGAAAAATGGGATTTCAGAGGTTAAAGAGGCTTGGAGTGAAGCTCTCCCAAGCACCGGTGCAGGGCGCTATGAGGTTGGAGGCCATCGCTAGGCCATCGCTATTAGGGGAGGCCATGGGAGGCCCTACAAACATGTCATTTTTTGTTTGTAAAAACGAGCTCCCACGCACTGTTGCACGGTGAAGAATCCTTTTTAACCGCAGGCACGTGACCGGTTGCAAGAGGCCACGACACTGTGTAGTGTCATGTCAGCTGTCAGCCATTCTGCATCATTCTGCCATGCCAAGAAATCCGGAGGCTTTAGCAGAGGGTCGAGCTATGTCGCTTTCCAAGGTGCTTTGGGTTGTGTGATGTGGAAGGAAGGCGAAAGAAAGAAAACGGCATACAACCTAAGAGCGATGGCACCCTACCAGCGAAAGAAGGAAAACGAAGGAAACATTAGGTGACCTAGTAGCGTCCTTGCTCCTAGTAGTACGGCCAGGAGCCTCTAGTAGCGTCCTTGCTCCTAGTAGTACGGCCAGGAGCCCCTAGTAGCGTCCTTGCTCCTAGTAGTACGGCCAGGAGCCCCTAGTAGCGTCCTTGCTCCTAGTAGTGAGAGATGTGAGAGGGTGAGTTGCTGCTGCAACCTTTCTTGAGATAAAGGATCAACTTGCTGCTGCAGAAAGACAGCGTCGACGAATCCACAACCTGTACCAGGACATGTGCAATATTGCGTTAGCCTTTTGTTCACGAGGACCTTTGTTACTAGTAGCTTCTTGTTCCTAGTAGTAAGGCACTTGTTACTAGAAGCGATGCACCTGTTACTAGAAGCTTTCACGAGGAATGAAGAAGTAACTCAATCATATGTGGCATTTGTTTCTCACGAACTGAAAGATGTCGGGAGCAGGATTTGAAGGGCCACTTGCGAATCTATTGCCGGGCCGGTTGAACCTAGATCCCATTGCAGTGGCGTTTTGGAGTTGAGAAGTGGAAGTGAGAGAGCAATGTGCGCGCATTTATCTCAGGGAAACAAGGAGATTGGTGAGAGAGGTTTCTGCAAATATACCACACTGAAAGCAGCTTCGCAGCTAAATAGTTCGACGGAAACAATGTCTCAACGGCAAGCTTTGAATAGCTACGAACGTAACAAGTGCATCGCTACGTTCGTAACACGGGCATTACTAGTAGAAGGAACCTACTAGTAGCAAGGACGCTACTAGGGGCTCCTGGCCGTACTACTACGAGCAAGG